TTTATGGAGCAGTCCAAATTGTATGCCTAGTTTACTATCTATGTATATAGTTATATTAAAATGTTAGAGTGTAGAAGAGTTTCTTACTCTTGTTACATGACATTTTAATTTAACTCATCAGTTTCTCTAACACTAAAATGGTTTGACATCTACGAGGGGGAGGAAGGAGCTTATACATATATAATTATACTTGAGAAAGTTTGTTTACCAAATTAATGCAAAACAGCAACACTGTATGGTCTGAGATATATGCCACCATTAAATGCTAACATTTTCATTTATTTGTCTGAGTGAGTGATTGTTCCTGTGACAGGAATAGTACTCACAGGTAGTAGTTTCCATGCTTTCAGAGTATAATAATGTAGTTGGTATGCTTAGCACTAGGTTGAGAGCATAAAACACAAGTACTGTAAAATCCTTTTTTTTTAGCTGGAATAAATTTTCGCTGAAAAGACTTTTTGGGTGTTTTGCTTGGATTTTATTTTCACCGATTTTTGACGAGTTGAATGTTATTTTCACTGAATCATTCCTATAGCAAAAATGAATTTGAATCGAAAATAAAGTATTTTACGGTACATGTATTATGCATGGTGGAGTTTCTTCACAAAGCTTAACACTCATCCCAGTTAATAAAAAACAATTTGATTACATTTCCAATCCAGGTATCTAATTCTGAAAGGTGCACTGGTTGATAGAACCGGTGGTGAGTTGAACTCTACGCCATTACATTGGGCCACAAGACAGGGTCATTTACCAATGGTTATATTATTAATGCAGTATGGTGCTGATCCATCCATCAGAGATGGTGAAGGTTGCAGTGGTGTACATCTTTCCAGTCAGTTTGGACACACAGCTATCTTAGCATATCTGATAGCTAAGGGACAGGCAAGTCTCCTTATTTCATTCTTAGTGACAGCTGTATTGCGATCGCAAGAGACAAATGTTCATTAATTTTGCGATTCATTGAAAATTGATACATTTTCTATCAGTGAAATTTTTCTGAGGTCCTATGACACAGTCAGTGTCAATGTTGTGAAATTTTGTTTTACTAAATGCCCCAAAAATTGTTAAATCACAAACATTTTTAGCATTTATAGCACCAAAAATGTACAGAAAATTTTTAGGATTTGTGCGTTTGTGAAGACAAATTTTTGTGAAAGTCATAGACTTCATGTGTTCATTTTAATTTCATGCTACAAAATTTTGTAAAATTTCACAAATGTCAAATATAAGGCATAAATGTAAATATTTATAATGTCAAACAACACATTACACATTGTATGAGTGCATATAGGCTGATGTAAGATTTTTTAAAACATTCTAATTTATACATGAGCTCTTCACGGAATAGAGAGAGGTGCCTACCAGCCAATGCGATTGTTTCTTTCGAATTTGAAGGAGTCTGATTACAAATCAAACAACTGAGATAGCAGTTTATTAGTACATTAATATTGTTCAGTATTCAAGATGAGGTGATTGTTGTGATTACTCTCTATTTTTTATTTATCATAGTCATAAAAATATACTGGAGCGAGAAATCCAAGAAATGTACATGACGAATACTTTCTGTTTTTTCCTATCTGTAGGATCCTAATATGCTAGATCAGAATGGAATGACACCATTAATGTGGAGTTGTTACAGAATGTTTGTGTAAGTTTTCATCTCTAGTCAGAAAACGATGAAATGCCATCTTATTATATTTGCTTTTAACATGTTTTATTATATCCCTTACTTCACATTGTGGTTGTTTACTGCAGAACACTTTATTTACGCTTGGAATTGATTTTCGCTATTTTCGCTGAAGGAATAATTCATTGAAAATAAAATTCAGCGAATATATCTTTTTTCCTATATTTTGCATTCAACTCAGTGAAAATAAATTCCATACAAAACACCCCAAAATTCTTTTCAGTGAAAATTAATTCCAGCTAAAATAAAGTATTTTACAGTAGTTATAATGTTTTAATACAATGCTAATGACTTTAAAAAGAATGTTTAAAAACATTTTTTTTTTTCTAATTAAATTATTTCTGACACGTTTGACTTAATCTTTCCTACCCTAATTCTTAAAATGCTGTCAAGATTGCAGGGCATGTTTTAGTCATTGACACCAGTATTTGAGTGTTTCTAATGATTTGTAATTCTAAGTGTAAATTTGTGCCTGTTCTAAACCAACAGAGTTGATCCAGCCAGGTTGCTAATTAAAATGGGAGCCAGTGTGAATTTACAAGATAAAGTACACCAGAATACAGCTTTACACTGGGCCATTATGTCAGGCAATGCTAATGTTATGCCACTGTTGTTACAAAATGGTACAGATACATATATTGAGAATTCCAAGGTAAGCCTGAATTTCTCCATATTCAAGAGAGTGGCACATGTCCAAGGCATCAGTCAATCAACAAATATTTATCATTTCCTGACTAAATTATGGAATGGAAAGTTATGTTTGTATTTCAGGAAAAATCAAGTTTTGTTTTTGTACCTGAGATGTTCAACCAAATAGTGCAATAGGCTCCTCCCTTTTTTTTTTCTGTAGTATTTGTTTTCATGTTTTGGCAATCCTGACCAAACTGCCATGCACACTGATCAGATGCAAATTTAACATTTAAACTTAAAAATAATTCATATCGTATTGTACCCATGTCTAACATGACAAGTCATGATGACCGCCAATCTTTGACCCTTGGAATGGCACAACTTTTTCTCTCCTTTCACAAAACAATCTTGCGTGATTGTTTTGCAAATATTTTCTAAAATTTTGACCAAGATCTACTGGTATATCTGATTAGAAATTAATGTCCAATTGGGTAAAAATTTTAATTGAAAAGAAATTGTGAGGAAATTGATGGCATACAAAGAGTTAAAGGGGAACCAATACTATAAATAAGGGTCAACATGGCCACCGTATTAGTATGCTAATCCGAACCAAGCAGCTAACATTGTGGCGGGAGCTCCGTGAAATATGCCAATTATGAAGTTTGGAGATCAAGCTGTGGTTCCAAATACATATCCACGGGGGCATGAATATGTACGCTAGCGATTACACTCGTCTGGTTGGGCTTATGATGTATAAATGTTGTTATTTTCGGTCGAAATGTGCCGCGACGCGTGAAAATCAAGAGTTTAAAATGGTGACTAATGTATGCAAAATTCCTGTCAATCACAGTTTGAGTAAACGAAAATGTAAATCCTCTAGATATTTATTCACTCTACAAAGCTTGTTGGTTTACAAACAGCATTATCGTTACGTAGTTTGTCTATGTCTAACCACCTCCATGGTCTAACCATCGGTAACACTGGGACATGACGATGTAAGACAGTAAACAATTTCAATAACATTAGGTTACGGGCTTTCGGATATCCATTGCAATAAATTGAATGTAGAAGTAGAAATCATTCGCGAGGTTTTAATTTCGCGGTGAGTCCAAAACCGCGAAAATAAAACCACGCAAAAATTTCCTGTTGAAATGTAAAACACAATACCCAAGTCAAAACAACACTCACTCCTGACCCACAACCTTACAAATTTTACCGTAGTCATTGACGCCTATTCAAGATTACGATGTTTACTGTGGTTAGCTTCGCTTCGACAATGAGCTGTTGTCACCGTAAAAATTTTAAATTAGTCTTCAAATGGTCAGTTTATCATCGAAAACAACTAATGTTTTGATTTCAAAAAAAAAAAACATGCTGTCTTCCCATCAAAACCAGAGGTAAAAGATCGAGCTGGAACATCTGCAAATCTCCGTTTTGGTGATTTGAACACGTTGGCATCACCGAGTATTTTGACTGGCTGATTAGCGATTTGACCTATAAGGTGTCGAGCATTTGCATGCGACCGGAATCATTCGCTTACAATGAAACTAAATTGAAATTTACTTGCATTTCAGAACAATTCAACGAGTTTACTTTTTGTACCTTATTAATAATCACTACCAAGTAATAATAATAATTGTGAAACGTAGCATGGTCGGATTGCGCTACCGTGATTATTTGCTACTAAGCAATGCAGTGTTCGTGTTTTAAAAACTTTTTTTAGGAACGCCAGAACGATGCTGGTTACTACTATGTGGACATTTTTCTTTTGATCGTACGGCAAAGACTTGCATTTTCTAAGAGATGAAACTTTTTGTATAACTTTCTAGACAGTCTGAAAAAAGGAAGGGGTACAGTGAATAAGTGCCAGACTGCAATGAGCTGCAAATAGTAGTTGTGTAATACTGGTAGGCGTGCAGGAAATAACCGTTCTGTTAGAGATTCCAAGTTTCGGATATCAACAAGACATTGGCCTGACTGCTTCGTGATGAAC